GAATTTCCCAGGTCTGATGATGCCACGCAGATCATTACAGGACTGGCCAGTGTTTTCCTGCTGTTGGAAACTTCCACGGCTGGGCCAGTCTGTGCCCACAGAGCAGCATCTGTGGCAACGGACATCCACAGTTGATCTGTGCACAACCTTTGACACCAGGACAAGACATGGGATTTACACTGTTAGTTTCTTATCATCTCCTGGCAAACCACTGTCCCTTTGATCTTTACCAGAAAAGGGGCAGGCTGACACAGGAATTCAGATTCCTGAACTGAGTGACATTTTTGTGGTCACTCCCATCAGTCTTGGGTTAGAGTAGAGAAGTCGTGGGCTTGCAGTTGAGAGCCCTAGCTTGGGAAAATGGTTCATTTGCTGTCTTGTTGGTGTTTAGTCACTGAGTCATGTCATTTGCCCTCTGTGAGTCTCAGCTATTCCCTCCTTCTAGTGAAAGAATTGATTGTAAGCAGTGGATTTCCAATGTTTTCTGAAATTCCTTGCTCAAACAGAGATTCAATATGTCAGTCTAATACAATATGTACCACATGCATGTGTGCTCAGTCGTGTCCAACTCTAAGTGACCCCATGGACTGTAGCCCTGCCAGGCTTCTCTGTCTATGGGATTTCCCAAGCAAGCATACAGGAGTGGGTTGCCATTTCCTCCTCCAGGAGGTTTTCCCATCCCAAGGATCAAACCTGTGTCTCTTGCATTGCAGGCAGATTCTTTGCCACTGAGCCATTTTGGAAGACCCAATATATAGCACAGGTGAGGTCAAATCTGCTGTGAGTGAGGAGGGTTCTGAGCACATCTCACCTAGCCATTCACCCTGCCTCCTCCTTAGGAGGCTCAGAAGAATGCCCCCTAAACCCCTCAGAACACAGGGCAGAAACCACAGCTCCTGACTCTACAAGAACTCCAAGTTCTGGTTGGCCGGTCTTGGGAATTTCTGTTGTAATTTTATTGGCCTCAAGGAAACCAGGAAAATGCCAACATATGTCAATCAAACTGTCCTCAAAATCCTCTGGGAGAGTCCGCCCAAGTTCATGGCTTTGCTTTTCATTGCTTTCTGGAATGCTGCCATTCCCCACCCCTCACCTCACCTGCTCACACCTGTCATCCTGGTCCTGCCTTGGTTTCCGAGTTGCCCTCCTGACGGCTCCGTCCACACAGGCAACTGAAACCTTTTCTTTTCTTTTTTAATTAGAGGATAATTGCTTTACAATGTTGTGTTGGCTTCTGTTGTACTACAACATGAATCAGCCATAATTATATGTATATATATCTCCTCCCCCTCCCATCTCACCCTTCTAGGTTGTCATAGAGCACCAGGCTCTATGTTATATAGCATATATATATATATATATATATATATATATACACATACATATATAGGCTCCCTATGTTATATAACAACTTCCCGCTACTTATCTAATTTTGCACATGAGAAAGGTTTTTCATGATAAAGGCTTTTCAGTGGGCTTTCCAGGTGGCGCTAGTGGTAAAGATTCCGCCTGCTACTGTAGGAGATGCAAGAAACTTGGGTTCCATCCCTGGGTCAGGAAGATCCCCTGGAGAAGGAAATGGCAACCCACTCCAGTTTTCTTGCCTAAGAAATCCCATGGACAGAGGAACTGGCGGGCTACAGTCCATGAGGCCGCAAAGAGTCGGACATGACTGAGCACAAATTACACAAAGGCTTTTCAAAATCTTGCTTCCTCACTCCTCAGAACCCTGGGGTCAGCCAGCTACAGCTTAGGACAACAAAAAAAATGTGTGTGTGACCTCAAGGAGATGTAGTGAAACTGCTTTTTTTTTTTTTTCAGTGTCTGATCTTTCTCCTTTCAACAAAGCAGTTTTGTGTCTGGGCTCAACGTTTAAGATGCTTTCTAAAAGAAGAGAAACTTTGTACCTTGGGATATGTTTAAACAGCCCTAGGAAAGCCGAGGGGTCCCTGTGGTGTTTGCAAATGTAGAAACGACAAATGCAGCTCACAGAGTGGGGCCGGCAGAGACAGCCGCCACCCTCCCTGGCCACCTAGGAACGTATTAAAAAATCCGAGAGGCGGGTGTGACTGATGGTCCTCAGGGAGTCTAACAGCAGAACGACAGAACTGCCACTTCAGACCCCCGTGGCTGGTACTCAGTTCTGAGACTTACTTACAGCTCAGTGTTAGTCGCTCAGTCATGTCCGACACTTTGCAACCCCATGGACTGTATATAGCCTGCCAGGCTTCTCTGTCCATGGAATTCTCCAGATAAGAATACTTGTGTGAGTAGCCATTCCCTTCTCCACTGGATATTCCTGGACCAGGAACTGAACCCAGGTCTCCGGCATTACAGGCAGATTCTTTACCATCTGAACTGCCTGGGAAGCCCATTTACAATGAAGCCCGTGGGTAAATGGGGAAGACACAATGTCACCAGTCAGCCCTTTGAAAACACGGCTCAGTGAGTCCCCTCCGGGGCAGGAAGTCTCCGAGAACAGGGACAGACTCAGGCCCGAGTCATCATCAGCAGAGGGCGTCAAGTGGGGCAGCGGGAGATAAGCCTCAGATCTGCTCCATCTTGGTCTCTGAGCTGGGGTGCTTTTAAAGGGGAAGAGCAAAGAAACAGGGATTAACCATTGTTTTGTGACATTTCTTAATCGTACTTTCAGGGGTCAGGATTCTCTTGTTTATGACTCTCTGGCCAGGTGATCTATGGCTCAGGGGTCTGTGAGCTCACCTGGCCTTGGAGAAACAACCCGCGTTTGTGCATTAGTGATGAGACCTATAGCAGCAACCTCAGTGCGTTAATGAAGTTCTGACAACAATGGTCTTAGTCATCTAACTCGGGTTGATTAGCGCTCAGTTAGCACAACATGGAGTTCTGAGGGGACAAGAACAGGATTGAGGTCAGAGGAAGGGGACAGTTTGGGTAGAGAGATTAATCATAAACTCAGTAAGGGAACACGGTTTTGGGGGGCTCGGTTTCACTATTACAGTTTTTAACAGCAAACTGGGAATCTCTACTCACTTGAGGAAATCAGCCACCTGGGTGTGAATGTGTGTGCTGCATATTTACTCAAAGGTTGTGCCTTTGAATGGCTAATTTCACTGATGTCAGATGCTCAGAAAGTGTCCCCAGCAACGGAGTGTTCGGAGTGTTACGTTTTGGTGGAAATTAGACGGGACACACTTCTGTTTGGCTGACAGCATTGTTATGGATGAATTTCGGTAACCATTTAGGCAAATGATTTTAAACTGAACAGAAACATCTCCTGTTGTACTTACACTGAAAGGTTCAGTTGGCTGAATTAAAAGTCTGAATAAACGAACTTGCTTGTACCCTTTTAAAAATCTCTCCTTCTGCCCTCACTGCAACTACTGATTTACACTTTCACTGTAAATTAGTTTGTTTTGTAGAATTTTATATGATGGGAATCATAAAAATGTTTACATTTTAAAAATTGTACTTTCCCTCAATGCTGCATAATTATTTCATGATTCATAATTCATAGCTTCATTCTTTTTATAGCCATGTACTATCCTGTATAGATGCCCCACAGTTTCCTTACCCACTTAATGGACATTCGGCTTGTTTCCAGTTTTGGCTTTTACAAACAATGCCTTATGTTACATACACACACAAAATCTGAATAAATGAAACATAGCAAAGGGTTGATAATTTTGGTGGAAGTTGGTGACGTGTGTACACTCAACACAGCGGTGGGAGTGAAGTCGCATAGGATGGTCCTCAGAGAACTCCTGGTCTGAGATTGTTGTTCCCAATGCCTTGTGATTGTCACAGCTCCTCACAGACACAGTCATGGAGCCATCTCTGCTCACACTCCACTGACCTCCTCCAGTGAGAGGACGCCCACTGAGCTGGGGGGCTGGCTGCTGGCGGTCGGGACCTGGCCCTGTTCTCCCGACTTCTCACCTAGTGTTCTCGAAATGCTAGCCAGCAGCTCCATAGCTCGTTAAATTGAACTGATGTTCTGATGGCTTGCAAAGCAAATTTTTTTACAGCTGTTATAAAGGTCTCATTGCTCAAGTGTAATCGAGCAAAACTGCCAAGCCCCCTCCACTCCCTGGACGCTAGGATTTGCAAGGGCAACAGAAAGTGTACAGTTGACTCCAGAAATAACTGCACCCAGCCCAGAACTCCTGGGACAATACGTGGAAGGTTCCAGGAGGGGCAAAGTTCCTTTACAAGGGATAGTCCGGAGCTCGGCAGCTTGTGTTCCAGTCCCTCTCTGCAACCCACCAGGCTGGGGTTGGGGAGTAGTTGCCAGATCCCTGATGCCTCAGCGTCCTTGTCTGTACACAGGGGGCTTGTGGACTCCACTTAGGGTCAAGGAGTTAGTCAGTGCAGAGCATTGTTGTAAGTGCTCTTACGTTCAGCACCTACTGCGCGCCAGAAGCTGTGCACACAGAGAGGAACAAAATAGACAGAGATCCTTGCCCTTGTGGAATTTATACTTGGGCTGGGGGCAGGGGGCACACCATGGACACTCTATAAGGTTAATAGCCCCTAATTAGGTCAGACAGTTGCCAACAAGCCAGGCACCATCCCACATTTGGGGGTGTTCTTCCTGTGGGCCTTTGCCCGTGGGGTGACACCTCATCACTGCCACATTCTGCCAACCAGCAGCCATCTGTACACAAGATGCGCTGCCAAAATCCCTGAGGTCCCCCACGAGCCTCTGCACCTTCCCACCCTTCCCTTCAACAGGAAGGCGTGTGTTTTGCATCTTCAGGGGACTGTGGCAGAGCTCCATCAGTCAGAAGTTGTGTAAGGGCCTGTCATGGTTGGTCCAGGGGCCGTAGGCCACGTGGCACTCATTAACGACTGTCTGTTCAATGATTATCTGCCTGGGTTTATTGTGGTGAGCCAGTCCAAAGCATAACTGATTGTGGCCGTGATCCAAAGACCAGCCCCTGACGTCAGAGTCGAGCCTCTCTGGGTGTGACTGAGGGGTGGGGACTCTCTCCTTCTTGGAATTTAAAGGCCAGGAAGTTCTGCCTCCAAACCCCAAACAGGGCCTTCCCACTGGGAACGCACGCTCACCTGTGGGAAGGGCCTTGCAAGAGACCCTTGGGCCTCTGACCTGATCGTCCAAAGAGAAGAAAGGTAGGCAGAGCCTGTTCACATACGTTTCTAACAAACTTCATCACTAATAGGAACTGGTTTTCTTTTTCCTCCCAACCACGACGGTGACCCTGACAAAGTGTGTGGAGTTGAGGGTATCCTTGGTTGTCTTTGTTCATGAAGCCTGTGATTTTTCTATTGCAGGGAACCTCAGCATCCGTGCCCCCCAGCCCAGCTCTGCAGAGATGCCTCCCCAGCTCTCAGACGGCCTCAACTACTCAGCCAAAATCGTCCGGGGCTCCCTGGACAGCCTGCCCCAGGCTGTGAGGGAGTTCGTGGAGAGCAGCGCCAAGCTGTGTCAGCCTGACCAAGTCCACATCTGCGATGGCTCCGAGGAGGAGAACCGGCAGCTGCTGAGCCACATGGAGGAGGAGGGTGTGATCAAGAGGCTGAAGAAGTATGACAACTGGTGAGCACAACTCTGTCCCCCGGCATTCGGCCTTTCTCTCTACCCAGGGCGCAGGTGGAACGAGGAGGACGTGGGCCTCAGCAGAGCCGGGGTGGGGCTGTGTGGTTTGCAGGCTCTCGAAAAACTTAGTAAAAGAGCCAGAACCATGTAGACTTAATTTTGTGACATTTGCAGAGCAGCCCAAGTCATAAATGCAGGGGCGCGGGCAAACTCTCTTTGCAAACCAGGTCCCCAATTGAAAAGAAGGTCTGACAATCCCAGTCCTAAAACACTAACTTCTGGTCTAGTGAGTGTCCCTCTGACCACGTCCCAGTGGATGTGGCTGTGTCTGCATTGATGGCGCATCCTTAGTGCCCTTGGTACCTGCCAGGTGTGGGAAGAACATGATGATGAGAAAACTGGTCCCTTCCTGAATGGTCCATGGCCGAGGGAACCTAGGGAGCAGATGCCATGCAGAATACCAGCACTTCTCTAATCCCCATCTGTGTATTTTCAGTTTTTATTTACTTATTTATTTTCAGCTGTGCTGGGTCTTCATTGCTGCAAAGGCTTTTCTTTAGTTGCAGAGAGCGGGGGCTACTTTCTAGTGGCAATGCCAGGGTTTCTCATTGTGGTGGCTTCTCTTGTTGCAGAGCACAGGATCTAGAGTGTGGGGGCTTCAGTAGTTGCGCCTCCTGGACTCTTACACACAGGCTCAGGCTCAGCAGTTGTGGTGAAAGGGCTTAGTTGCTCCATGGCATGTGGGATCTTCCCGGATCAGAAATAGAACCTGTGTCCCTTGCGTTGCAAGACAGATTCTTTACCACTGAGCCACTAGGGAAGCCCCTAATCTCTGTATTTTAATTTTTTTTTTTTTTTGCAGCTGGTTGGCTCTCACGGACCCCAGGGATGTGGCCAGAATTGAAAGCAAGACGGTTATCATAACTCGAGAGCAAAGAGATACGGTGCCCATCCCCAAAACCGGCCTCAGCCAGCTGGGCCGCTGGATGTCCGAGGAGGATTTTGAGAAAGTGTTCAACGTCCGATTTCCAGGGTGCATGAAAGGTGAGTGAAACATTTATTTGACTGGGTACAACATCAGCAAACCTTTTATTATCATCTCTATCCTATCGGTAATTGTCTCAGGAACTCCCATTGCTCGGAGAGTTATAAGTTCCACATAAGGATTGGCCACGTGTTGAAAATGTACATCTCAGTTCTGGTTTTATAGACTGCCTTCGACGACCGGGAAAACAATTTCTATGCTTGTGGATTTAAGGTAGCTTGGTGGAACCCAGCTGCACATTTATGAAAACCTAATTTTGCTGTCATGGCCACCTTTTCATTTGGTGTTGTTGAGCCGCTAAGTTGTGTCCTACTTTTTGTAACTCCATGGACTTCAGCATGCCAGGCTCCTCTGTCCTCCACTGTCTTCTGGGTTTTGCTCAAATTCTTGTCCACTGAGTTGGTGATGCCATCCAGCCATCTCATCCTCTGCCACCCCTTTCTACTTTTGCCCTAAATCTTTCCTGGTGTCTTTTTCAATGAGTCGGTTCTTCACATCAGGTGGCCAAAGTATTAGAGCTTCAGCGTCAGTCCTTCCAATGAGTATTCAGGGTTGATTTCCTTTAGGATTGACTGGAGTAATCTCGTAGTCCACAGGACTCTCTTGTAGTCGTTAGGGTTGATTTCCTTTAGGATTGACTGGAGTAATCTCCTTGCAGTCTACAGGACTCATCTAATCAAGGGGCTGGTGGCAAGCAAGATGTGATGTTGTTGGAGGGGGATCATGAGAAGGGTCATGATTGGCGGTTGTCTGTGAGTCTGGGGTTGTTTTTCACCAGCTCCCACCTCCCGGCCCACAGGTCGCACCATGTACGTCATCCCGTTCAGCATGGGGCCCCTGGGCTCTCCTCTGTCCAAGATTGGCATCGAGCTGACAGACTCACCCTACGTGGTGACCAGCATGCGCATCATGACGAGGATGGGCACTGCCGTCCTGGAAGCGCTGGGGGATGGCGAGTTCGTCAAGTGCCTCCACTCCGTGGGGTGCCCTTTGCCTTTAAAAAGTAAGCACATTATTTCAAAATCAAAAGCCGGAATTAAAAAAAGAAAAAGCTTACCCTTAAACTCTGTTGGGGACCTGGCATACTCATGTGGGCGTGTCCTCCTGCGCAGAGCCTTTGGTTAACAACTGGGCCTGTAACCCCGAGCTCACACTCATCGCCCACCTGCCCGACCGCCGAGAAATCATCTCCTTTGGGAGTGGGTACGGCGGGAACTCGCTCCTTGGGAAGAAGTGCCTTGCACTCAGGATGGCCAGCTGGCTGGCCAAGGAGGAGGGGTGGCTGGCAGAGCACATGCTGGTAAGACGCAGGGAATTCTAAATGTGTGCAGCCGAGGGTCGGGCAGAGGAGGGGAAGTGGCAGACCCCTACTGCATTAGCATTCCTTTTAGGCATCAGCGTTCCAGTGCTCCAAGGACATTGGGAATTCCATCAGTAACGATGAATGGCTTCCAGGCCCCCTCCTAGACTAGGGCATGGACCTCTAGGGCAGAAAGGAACCAAGCGCTTCAGGAGAAATCTTGTCTCCAACAGATTCTGGGCATCACCAACCCCAAGGGCCAGAAGAAGTACTTCGCAGCTGCATTTCCCAGCGCCTGTGGGAAGACCAACCTGGCCATGATGAACCCTACCCTCCCAGGATGGAAAGTAGAATGTGTGGGTGATGATATCGCCTGGATGAAATTTGACCAACAAGGTGACTCTTTTAGGCCCAGGTGTTGATGATAATCATTGAACCTTAGCGAACTTTTGGGTTTAAACATGCCAAATCCTCCCAAGTCCACAGTGTCCGGATTTTTAAAATTCAGTTAGTTCTTGCAAAAGTGCACACATATGTATTCCATCAGCTTTCTTTAATCTCATATCCAATCTGGATTAAAATGGGACCTTCTATCACTGTTTACATTTTGTCTAGTTGCTAAGTTATGTCCGATTCTTTGCAACATGGACTGTAGCCCACCAGGCTCCTCTGTCCATGGGATTTCCCAGGCAAGGATACTGGAGTGAGTTGCCATTTCCTTCTCCAGAGGATCTTCCTGACCCAGGGATCGAACCCACATCTCCTGCATTGACAGGCAGATTCTTTACCACTGAGCTACCTAGGTTGGTTAAAATAGTTTGATGGGAAACTGGTGAGAAAGAGTCAAAGTTGATTACTAATGCTGGCATGAGACAAGAGAAAGAGATTCTGGGGAGAAGGGAAAAAGTACAAAGACTTGAGAATTTGGTGCAGAAATTAACCTGGCAAGATATAAGATGATATGTTTTCCTTGATACTCACTTCCACTCCTTGATTTAAAACTTGCCAGGTAACTTGCGGGCCATCAACCCAGAGAATGGGTTTTTTGGCGTCGCTCCGGGAACCTCTGTAAGGACAAACCCCAATGCCATCAAGACCATCCAGAAGAATACCATCTTCACCAATGTGGCCGAGACCAGTGACGGGGGTGTTTACTGGGAAGGCATTGACCAGCCACTGGCCTCAGGCATCAAGCTCATTTCCTGGAAGGGCAAGGAGTGGGACCCCAAGGATGGTAAGCCCCCAGGAGGCCTGGCGCCCCAGCCCTTGGGTGTGTGTGCTGGGCCAGACGCTCAGGGCCCGTCTTCCCTTGCTGCTGTAGGGGAGCCTTGCGCCCACCCCAACTCGCGGTTCTGCACTCCGGCCAGCCAGTGCCCCATCATTGACCCTGACTGGGAGTCTCCAGAGGGCGTGCCCATTGAGGGCATCATCTTCGGAGGGCGTCGGCCTATTGGTGAGACTCCCGGGCCCTTGGGCTGGGACACGGGTGTGTCACTCTGGGGGCACGTGTCACTACAAGGGCTCACGTTCTGTGACCTGGTTGGAAGGTGTCAGGGATACGGAGCTCCCTTTCGCAAATGACAGGGTAATGAGCAACCTCGGGCATAGAACTTAGTCTCTGGCCACTAGAACTCCTGGGTCCTCGTCCCAGGGATGTGGCTCCCAGTCTGACTTCGGCCACATGGCCCCCTGCCGTGACTCTGATGTGGTAGGTCCACCCTTTGCTCTGGAGCTGCAGCATCAGCCCCTTTAGAAGAGAGACGACACACAGCACATCTTTCCACTTGGGAGATGGCATCGCTGCCCAGGGGGCTGGGGGTCAAAGCCTCTAAGGAGCGTTTCTTTCTCCTGCTAAAGGCGTCCCTCTGGTCTATGAGGCTCTCAGCTGGCAGCATGGCGTGTTTGTGGGGGCGGCCATGAGATCCGAGGCCACGGCAGCGGCGGAGTACAAGGGTGAGTCTGGCCAAGATCCGGGGCTGCCAAGAAGGGACAGTGACAGCTCTGTCTCCGTGTTTCTCTGTCTCTCTATTTTTCTGTCGCTCTGCTTCTCTGTCTCTCCCTCTCTCTCTCTCTCTCTCTCTCTCTCTCTCTCTCTCTGTTTCTCTATCTCTGTGTCTTTCTGCTCTTTCTGTCTCTGTATCTCTGTCTCTCAGTTGCCCCTCTGTCTCTTTATCTCTTTGTCTCCCCGTGTCTCTCTCTGTATATGCAGAGAGGTACAGAAAGCCAGGCGGCCGTGTCAACAGTAAGTGTGCCTGTAATCCTGTGAGGCTTCGCTTACCCACAGAGTCCCCTGTTAACAGGCAAAATCATCATGCACGACCCGTTCGCCATGCGCCCCTTCTTCGGCTACAACTTCGGCCAGTACCTGGCGCACTGGCTCAGCATGGCCCAGCGTCCGCGGCCAAGCTGCCCAAGATCTTCCATGTCAACTGGTTCCGAAAGGACAAGGCCGGCAGGTTCCTCTGGCCCGGCTTCGGGGAAAACTCCCGGGTGCTGGAGTGGATGTTCAACCGCGTGGGCGGGGAAGGCGGTGCCCAACTCACGCCCATCGGCTACATCCCTGATAAGGGTGCCCTGGACCTGCGGGGCCTGGGGGATGTTGATGTGAAGGAGCTCTTCCACATCTCCAAGGAGTTCTGGGAGGAGGAGGTGGAAGAAATACAGAAGTACCTGGAGGAGCAGGTGAATGCCGATCTCCCCCCGGAGATCAAGAATGAGGTCCTGGCCCTGAAGCAGAGAATCAGTCAGATGTAACTAGGTTCACCTGACCGTCCAACTCCAATCCATACAACGCACCAGGAACAGGAGACATGGTGCTTCCTGAATTCTCACCGCCTGCAGCACCACAATGACCGCACCCAGGGGCTGATTGAAAGACACACCTTAATTTTTCAGATAAGACCATATAGCAGACTGAAGCTAGTCACTAATGAGGTTGGGGAGGGAAATAGCAGGCTCCAGGAAATAGCAAACATTCATGATACAATGCACTTTTGTTCAACTTAGGGACACTCTTCTTTGTCTTTTTCCTTTAGCTGTATCAGTTAGCCAGAATGCACAGAAAAAGACACTTGAGCTGTATATATGTGTGTGTGCACATGCGTGTGTGTCTGTGTACTGTTGTCTAAAATGTATTTAATGACTTTGGAAAAATCTTGGGCAAGATTACCTACTAGTTGTTGCTAGAATGTGATGTTGCTTTCTTATTAATATGTGTGTTTAAATTATTTTTATATACCCTGGTTCCTTACCTTTACATAATTTCAACATTTCCCCCTAACACTACTTGGAAAAAAAAAATCACAAAATAAACTTTTATAGAAAAGATGAATTTGCTTGCCTGGTTTTTCTTATCTGAACAGCCAAGAAGAGGGGACTCTGATGAAACCTTCTGTGATAGAATCCCCTTCAAAGAACATGGGGCTACCCTGGTGGAGGGGGATGGATGGAGCCAGATGGGGAGGTGTGAGCAGAGAGACTGTCATCCAGAGGGGACATGGCACGATGCTTTGGGTTTTCTGAATTAACTTGAAGCCGTCGATCAGTGCCCTTGAACATTCACAAACCTTTAAATTGTGGGTCTTGGGTAAGTGGAACAGGAGAGTTGTTTTTTTTTTTTAATCCAAGTATTGACATCAAAATGATTGAGGGCGCGGAGACACCGAGACATGTCCTGTATGATTGAAATGTCAAGAACAAACAAACAGATGTGTCATCGCTCAGTTGTGTCCGACTCTTTGTGACCTCATGGACTGTAGCTGACCAGACTCCTCTGTCCATGGGATTTTCCAGGCAAGAATACTGGAATGGGTTGCCATTTCCTTCTCCAAACAGGAGAGTTTAAAGCATGCTTTTTGACTAAACCTTGGGTCTGGGGGCTTGGCCTTTCACAAGAATTATATCGTGGTCAATTTCACAGACTTTTGTCAATAAATTCTCTTTTGAGCAACTCTTTTCTTCACTGTCATCCACTGGGGAGGAGAGTAGAGACAGAAACATCCTTCAGAAGAAAACAGCAAAAGGCACTGATGGAGCACCGTCTGTATACAGGGCATCATGCCTTTGATGGGCTCAAGGTCAGCTGCCTTGTACCTTCCTCTGGTCCCTCTGTCCTCGGTGTTTATCAGGGACCCCGGGCAGTTTGAACAGATCACACGCTGGATTGGGCACATGCATTCAATAGATGCACAGGGCTTTCTCTAGCTGCTGGTCTCCTTTCTGGGCCAGCTCTCCTGCTCAGCACACACCAGGAAGTCAGTTCTCAGCTCTGCTCGCTTCCACAGCTTACAGACTCACCGTCCCCTTAAAGTCCTGTGCTGCTTCTGGGATCCACGTGGATGGGCAAGCTGAGATCCACCCGATGTTAAGGTGGGGAAACCGAGGCCAGGTGGGTCCTTCAGGGCTGCCAAAGAGTAGCCAGAGTTTCCTTCCCCTTTAAGGAGCTGAGAGCCGACGGGGCTCTGCCGACAAAGTGTCATGTTCTGATAGCAAAACCACTGACAGAGAAAAATCATTTAACTGAATTAAGAGCTATCTGCTGTAGTAATTTAAATCAGTGGCTTTCAGACTTGTTTCTTCCTTTTTGCTACAGAACCCATGCTTGACAGATATTCTGACTAAAAATCCCAGCTTCTAAGGGAGACAGAACAGGAGGCTGCCCACCTGAGGCTGGGCGCATGTCAGGACCCAGGCCTCCTGTTTTCCTTTTTTCTACTCTTTGGGGGCCTCTAAGGAAGTTTCTTCGACCCCTGAGAGGAACTTTCAGGATATATCTGGGGCACTGTTTTTAAAATGTAGAACCCAGACTTTGGCATCCTATTCTAGGCTCTTGGAGGCTTCATCTCTTTTCAAGCAAAGCTGTCTACCTCACAGTTCCCTACGGACAGCATCACCCACCCAGCCAGCAGACTTACACAGGACTGTGTTGCCACCTGGCCCAGGAAGCCAGGGAGACAGCCTGGAGGAGGTGTCTTAAACAGAATAAGAATTTTCAGGGAACCAAAAAGACTCAGCTCTCGCCATTGGTGCCCAAGTCAGTTTCCCCAAACCGAGCCAGCTGTGCTTCAGCCACCTCCAAGTCCTAGACTCTGTGCTGGGCCCACAGTAATAGGGACACTAGGACCTTGATGGCTGAGGTTCTATCGTTGAGCCTGAGCTGTCAAGCGAAGGCAAGAAGGCAGCTAAAGCCAAGGCCATTTGCAGGTTGATCAGACTGAGGCCTTGAGAGCGGCCCTTTGCTCAGGGTGGGGGTGAGAATGAGAAGTCAGGCTCCTGGTTCCTGGTCAGCCCTCCCCACAGTACACACGAGTCCAAACCAACAGAGGTACCGACGCCCTCTGCTGGGGTCCAGTGTAGCAGCTGCCCCCTGACCTCCATGGGTTCCCGGAGCCCTGCTGGGGTCTGGGTTAAAGACCAGAATACAGTGGATACACAGCACATATTGCACCAGGACAACAAACTTGTCCCTGTGTTCACCTGGGCATCTGAGGGGAATCCAGGGGAGTGGGGGGTGGTGGTGAGGAGGGGGCTCTTGAGGGCCTTCTCCCTTCTCTCCTTCGGCCTGCTCTAACCCAGAGCCTCTGGTCGGCTGCCCCCCACCTCTGGGCCACACAACACGTACCTTCCAGGGTTCTAAGGCCACAGGCATGGGCTCTGGAGGCTCCTGGGGCTGTGCCCTACCAGGGCGGTGACCCCTGCTTTGTCCTCACCGTCAGCGATTGCAGCAACAGGGACTGGGTTCCGTCATGTATGGGAAAGGGCCGGCTGCCTGCCCCCAGCCTCCTGCCCCCTTCCTTCCTTGAGGGTAGTAAATACTGGTGACCTTGGACACCTCCCAGCTCTGCCTTTGACCAGCAGTGTCACCTGAAGTGACACCCAGACCTGCAGCATGGCATAATAATAATGCCCCTGCTAGAGTCCAAGGAGCACGAAATGAGCAGGCCAGATCTGCACAGGTTCTGGGACTCGGAGGGTCTGGGTGTGAGTCACTACCCTCCCTCCCTGTAGGAGGGTATCCTCAGGTGATGATGCACAGCTTTGGAAACCTCAGTTTCCTCAACTGTATAATGGGCTCCACTCCATCTGGGCTGACATTCAATACAATGGGACTGGAAGTAAGAAGCTGAAACCCAACCCCCACCCCCATATGGGCTGATGGGGAGCTCCTGCCCCAGCTCCCGGACTGGCGTCAAATCACCCATCCCAGGTCCTCCCCCAGGACCCCCAGGCCTTCCCACACAGCGGGGGGTGGGGAGGGGGCGCTCCCAAATCTGATCTCTGGATTATATCTGGATGGTCATTACTCCCACTGGTTTTTAAGTATTTTGAACATAACTCCTGTCCTAGCCCCACCCCAATGTTCTGATGCTACACAACCACCCCCCAACTCAGAACTCTGATGAAAACCATAAAACTCGGCAGGAGGAGAAGAAGCCCTCAAGAAAACCTTGAGTCCACTGACTTCATCGCAGTGCAATGAGATCCAGTTTCCTCCAGGGGAAAACTGGGGGCTTGAGAAGGACATAAGGTTCAGAGGGAGTAAAATATTACAAAGTGGGTTTTTCCGCCTTTTGGAAATTTTGCCTTGCATTTTCTTGCATGGGAAGCTGAACACAGTGGGACCCCTGGGAGATGCTCTACATAGTTTCTTGTTAAGTATCACCTCCCAGGATCACAGCACAGGGCAGGATGGCTGTGGCTCTGATGAACACACAGCTGCTCTCAGGCACCGTGTTCTCTCTGCCCCAGCCCAGAGATTTCTTCGATGCTGCAGAGCTGGGATTCAGGGCTGCCGTGGAGGAACGGCAGACGTCACTGGCCCACAGTGACACCATGGTGGGGCCCAGAACACACAGGCCTGGCTGACACCTGCCACATTTTTCACTGACATATTTGTTCCTGGGGACCTGCTTGTCTGCCACCTGCTCAGCAATGTGTGGCCCCCTGGTAACAGGGTATGTAAACGCGTGAATATTCGCATACCAGACCTGCCGGCCCAACGGCAGAACCTTTCTCCAGGATAAGCCATTTTCAGCAAAATATGCTGTAAATATTTGTTCAGCTCAGGAAAATGACTTTAATTGCATAATTAAACTCAATGTATATGCTGATTCCAGACAGGATGGCTGGGAGAAGCCGAGGCCACATCTGTCCCTTTGCGTTTGTTGAAGAGAGGGGCAAACGGCTTGTTTGTGGAGATATTGCTCTAGTCCCTGTCTTTCCCCTGTGCAATGAGGGTTTGGAGAAAAGTCAGAAAGGATGGAAGAAGGGGCTTAGTGGCTTCTGGAAAGAGGAGAAAGGGGGAAATTTCCCCAAATCAGAGAAGCAGAGCAATGGGACCCCACCTCTCAGATAGGATTTGCACTGTGTATTCAAAATGTTCTAAGCACATCCTACCTTCCTTGGGTAACTGGTAACTTAAGCAAATGATCAATACACTAGACTGAATGAAGAAGAAAACATTAAATCCCAGCGGTTAATTAAACCCAGCATTCCTCACTAAAGTAAGCATATAAACATAAACCCTGAATGGAAGGAGCTAGCCACAAAAGACACGTACATTGTGTGGTTCCATTGATGTGAAGTGTCCAGAATAGGCAGATCCACAGAGATAGGAATTACATTTGTGGTTTCCAGGGGTCAGGGATCAGGGAGAAAGATTGGGGAGAAATCACTAATGGATGCAGGGTTTCTTTGGGGGCTGATGAAACTATTCTAAAATTGGATTGTGGTGAAGGTTGCACAATCCTGTGAATATATTCTAATAAAAGCTATTAAATTTTACATTGTAAGTGGGTGAATTTGATGGCATGTGAATTAAAGCTCCATGAAGTGATTGAAACAAAGAATAAATACAATAAAAACAAAAGCCTGGCCTTGTGTTAGAAACCAATCATCTGCCAAGGCTCTGAGATGAAGGCGTGGCTTGCCATGTCACAAAGGGAGATAACAGCAGGGCGGCCAGGAAAGGGAATGTGGCCAGGGTGGAGGCAGCCTCTTGGGCTTCTCTCCTGGAGAGCATCAGGAGGATTCAGAGAAATGGAAAAGGGATGGGCTGATTCATTATGGGATTCAGCCCCTTTTAATGCCTGGCCTGGTTTCAGATGATCATGAGCACCCTAAAGTCATCACAGCAACTGGCAGAGGAGAAACATACCAGCAGCCTGCAGAACTCCTGGAGGCCAGCAGGTGGCAGAACTGAGACCTCAAATTCCAGGTGTCCAGGGGTCCTCAGCAGAGGGAAGGATCCCTGAGTTTGGAGGCCATGGGTCCCAGCCCACTCTGACTGTGGATCTGAATCTCTCACAGTGGAAGAGGGGCTCATGTCACCCC